CACCTCCCAGTCGCGAACCACTTCAACTCCCCCTCCCACTCCTTGGACGATATGTCCATCCTGGGCCTCCTGCAGTGCCACAACGATGCCACCCAAAGGTTGCAGGAACAGCATCTCATATTTCGCTTGGGAACCCTGCAGCCCAATGGTATCAATGTGGACTTCACAAGCTTCAAAATATCCCCTCCCCCTACCGCATCCAAAACCAGCCCAGCTCATCCCCGCCTCCCTAACCTATCCGTCCTTTCTCCCACCTATTGGCTCCTCCCACCTCAAGCCCCACCCCCACCTCCTACCTACCAGCCTCATTCCGCTTCCTTGATCTGCCCGTCTTCCCTGGACTGACCAACCCCCACCCTAACTCCCCACCTACACTCACTTTTACTGGCTCCATCCTCGCATCTTTGACCTGTCTGTCTCCTCTCCACCTATCTGCTCCTTTATCCATCTTCCATCTGCCTCCCCCTCTCTCCCTAATTATTTCAGAGCCCCCTTTCCCTCCCCTCCCCTCCCCCATTTCTGAAGAAGGGTCCAGACCCGAAACGTCAGCTTTCCTGCTCCTCTGATGCTGCTTGGCCTGCTGTGTTCATCCAGCTCTATACCTATCTCAACATCTACCACTAGCCGTCTTTGAGTCCAACAACCCTAAACTCAAATTGGAATTATAGAATTGTCCTGGACGAGCCCCCAATTTGTTATGGACCAGGCCAGACCCTCTCAAAATATTTTAAGCAGGTAGCCTAGACCCTAATGTTTTCTTATTTTAAAGGTGGGTGCGATGTGGGTGTTCCAGGTGTGATGCAACTGGTCAAACCACTTGGTATTAAGAAAAACACAATTTATTTAAACAGTGCAGTGAGGACATGAACAAAAGAATGCAGAATTTAAAATAACTTAACTATTGGAAAAACTTAACTGAATACTCGATACAGTAACTTAACTAATTAACTGTTCTGATGTAGTAATATCCCACAAACACATTCCTCAGCAAAAAGAAAAATTCAAACACAGATTCTTACAAGTAGGAGGGAACAACATCCAGAGAGATTTCTGAGTTAGGAATCATTGAGACTTGCACCCTCTGGTACTTAAAACATCTTGTGACTGCTACAGCTGAAAAAAAACACCAGAGAAAACCTGAACTGGGAGAACTGGCCACTCCCTTTCCATTGTTAAACTGTTACTCCCTGGACTCTTTGAAGCCTCTGCCTTTATAATCTCTCTTTAAAAAAAAACTAAGAAAAAATAATCATTTTAAAGTGACAGTATCATTGATTCACTACTTGTGTTATTTTGGTTGTCTCGAAACTCCAAACGAATAAACTATAAACTGCAAATCCATTTATACGTGGAAAAAGATGTGCACGAAATTTTGCAAACAACTTTTAATTTTCTGAATTCATACGCTGTCTGTGGTCACTGAGTTAATAATGATATTGAGAGGGAATGGAAACCTATCATTTTCATAAACAAATATTCTCAGGTTGGGTCTGGCATTTTGGATACGTAGTTAAGTTTTAAGCTCCAGAGAATCCATATTGTATGAAATGACATGTTCCATTTATACAATACAGCTATATCAGAGTAAAAATTGCCAATTAAAGAAAAACGATCTTGCAGTTCAAAGTGGGTCATCAAGACCTCTAAAGGTGCTTTACTGTCAATTAATTGCATTTTGAAATGCAATCATTGTCATGTATAGTCAGCAATGACAGCCAATTTGCACAAATGAAGGTCCCACAAGATATTGAAATGAACAAGCAGATTAATTTGTTTTAGTGGTGTTTTCTTATTAAGGATAGCAGAGTGGAGCCCTGCACTGGATTTATCAAATCATGGTGGTACACAGTGATATGTGGATTTATGTTTCATCTGATCCATTGCTCCCAATCTCAGCTGCACTGCACCATGCAAAGCAATACTTCTTTATTGTGGTTGAATTAAATATCAAAAGGAATGCTGTGCTGAACCAATAAAGGCACAGGCCAGGCCACACTCGCTTTTACTGGATGTCAGCTATTGCCTGAGAATCAAAAAAAGTCACCAAGTAAAGTAAAGTAAACAAGCTCTGCCAGTGTACCAGGAATTGATTCCATTGAAGATATTCTGGAACTTTACTTACCCAGGCTAACCAATACACGTTGTAAAGCTTGATAGGATGACGTTTGAAGGTCAAACAAGGAAAGCTTATAATCAGTGCTATGCTGTGCTTCATGACGTATGTTTTCAAATAAGGCAGATGCTCTATAAAGCTGAAATGAAAAAAAGATGCTTTAACTAATATTATAAATAATCCACCATGTGCAGTATTTGTACGCCAAAGCATCTTTCACTGGAGTAGACAAACTTGCTCAATTATCAACCTGTGAATCCTTCAACATGTGCCAAAGGCAGGTGGTAAATTCAAAAGAGATTCTTGTCAGCCATTGGAAAGAGATTACAGCAGCTAACTTCACTATCGATTGCTCCTGCCTATACACTATGTATATCAAAGTGTTTCTGTAACACATCACCACCACCATTTCCTGAGGCCTTAAATATTATATCGAGCTTTACGAGACTTACATGCATTTGCAGATAACAACTGATATTGTCCTTACTTTCATTTTACTGTGATTAAATAAACAGAATGTAATTTGCCTGTACTTTTAAAAATCTCTGGCACATCAAATGTGATTGAAAAGTAAAAGGTCAGCACAAATATTTGTTAGGTGCTTATTGAATTGAAATCTGTTTTCATGTGATGTGGAATGTTAATTTTTTTAATTAATTTTGCCCTTTTTTTTAAAACGGAAGAAACAACAGAAATGAAAAGTAAACAGGACTTCTAAAAATATAGCACTCAGCCTTGTGGAACTCCAACCCTAAGGGTTATAATCCATTTTTGCTGCAAGGCATTTCGTTCATTTGATTCTCTAAGTGTCAGGTACCTGGTGTTGTGCCTCTTCGAGGTTTCTGCTGACCCACAGCGAAAGGCCCAGTCGATGTCTGATTTTAGCCTCATCCTCTCGGCGGCCAAGCTGCTCTGCCAGCCTAAGTCCTGAACAAGAAAGATAAAGTTTATGTATCAGGCATGACCAAGGCATTTACCAAGTGCTGGTTAGAAAACTAACTTGCATCAGAAATGTTAGATTGCAAAAGATGCCACAACTGCACCAAAGTAAATTTAATTCACACATAAATAGAAAATATAGCACTCACATTTCTGTAACAACATACGTGAATGTGAATTTTAGAATATTATGCTATGAGGAGGACAATAGAAAGTAACCTGCATCTTCTTGAAGGAAAATCACAGCTGTAATTTTAAAATAATGCACAGATTTTGGGGTAAAGTTTTAATTTCCACTGGATCTCTCGCTGTAATTTGAAGTGGATATAACCTCAAAGCAACAATTGGATATATTTCCAGTGTCTCAAAAGCAGTTGCCTTTTCACAGAGCAGTCTATAGAAAAAGAAGTAACTTTGCCCATGATCATCTGTGGACATTGCCAGCTGGCACCAGGTCCAAGAGAGCCAAGCCAAACCAAACATTGAGTTTACAAGCCTGAATTATGCAATACCAGCATAAATACAGGGAACTCAAGTAAATGTTGTGTATGGAGACATGAAGCTATGCAACTGAAAAACAAAGGGTTTTCACAGATGTACTTCAGAAACAGTAGAGACCATCAAAGGAAGCTGTGCTCACCGTGGACTCAACATAAATCATGCAAATGTCCACACAAACAAAATCAGCCCTATGTGACTCTGTAATTATGCAAAAATGTTCCAGGAATATCAAGGTCGGTGTGACAATACTGCATTTTAAGCTGCTCTTAATCTCCACTATATTTGATGAGTCATTAATTGTTTAGGGAACACATTTTGCATTATTTATGTAAAAACAGCAATACCAAAATCAATGGGCATAGCATCAGAAATTATAGTGTCCTGGGAGAAGGAGAAGTGTTAGACAGAAAACATCAGAGATCACAGAATATAAATGTAAGAGAGCACATACCTTCCTGTAAATACATGACGGCCTGCGAATAATTCTGTAAGGCATGGTGTGTTCTCCCCAAGCTGCTGTATGCAATAGTTTTGGCCACTAAGTCATTCATCTGGGCAGCAATACTCAGATGCTGCTCCTGATACATTACAGCTCGTTCGTAATTTCCTAAAGATTCATAGGTCAATCCAAGGTTACCATAGGCACGACCTTGACATGTAGGATTATTGGTTTCCTCTGCAATCTCTAAATCAAGCTGATGGTACTGCAGTGAAGTTTCATATTCTGCCATCTGTTGGTAAACTCCACCAAGACCACAGGCTGCATCACTCTCCAGAATCCGATTCTTCATCTCACGGGCAATGTTTAGTTGGCGCTCAAGACAAGAAATTGCCTGTTCATAGTTTCCTAGCTGGCTATGTAGGCTTCCAAGCTCCCCATAAGCCTGGGCTTTGTTGGATGATTCTCCAAGTTCATGGGCTACTACCAATCTCTTTTCAAAGCACACAAGAGCTTGCTGAAGGTTCCCCATTGCCCTGTGCAAACAAACAAATTCACTTGATTTCAGGAATAGAAAAGCTAATGACCTGTAACAACATATGAGGATTTTATGCGAAGGTTTTGAAATAGATTTTTCATAATTTTCAATATTCTTTCCATTTCTATAGGTTCATTTGACTTCACACACTTTTGCGTTAAGGAGATCAGGTAATCAAAATTTGACAACAAAGAGTGAGTGTAAAGGAGCCATAAAATTACACAGGATGCACAAGAGAAATGTAAAAAGACAGGAGACACACGATAGATGTACCAAAGCAAGTGACATGTAACATCAAAACTACTGAAAATAATTGCAGGAAGTATCTTATGGCTTGCCAAGCAGCAGAAAGTGTTGACAGCAAATAAGCTTTTGACTTTGCTACAGCTAGGATTAGTAATGCACTTTCCACATGCCCAACTCATAAAATATAAAACTGTAAAATATATCACACGATAAATTTCCTACTGATCTCCTGAAAAGTTATTTCTTAAGATATCTGCAGAAATAACAGATTTAAACTCCTGATGACATATTCACTGTATTTTACCTGCAAACACTGAATGGATTTAATAATCAAGACTGAAATAAATGAGATTCAACCATTCCAATCTTTTTTCATGATATATGACATCATCATGTGAAACTTACTGTGAAATTAAATGCTTGCTATTGTGCAACTGTGTTCTGTATATCCTCAAGATATATAGAAACAAACTTAATAAATCAGAAAATGTTTACAACACAATATTTCAGAGCTCTGCGTGTTTCTTGGTTTCCTGCTGCTCAGCCTATTAAAATGCCCTGGGCATAGACAAACTCCAACACATTCCGAAATGTGTATTTCTCCAATAATCTATTACATAACAATGTAATGTTTCAGATAGAAGCAGCATACAGGCAATCATTCTGTCCCTCACTATCATTACATTTGTGATTTTAGTCAACTTATTGTTTGTTCCTAATTAACATCCATCGGCCTTTCTGAATTTTCTAATAACTCTTCATGTCTGACAGAATTGTTAAAGCTGACCGATTATTCAGAAACAAAAACAAACAGAAATATAGTTAATTAAAAGTAATGAATATATTTTGCACTTCAATAACTCATAGCACACAAATACTTTATTTTTCACCATCTGAGTGCTTCTTAGGTTTCTTTTTCTATGACCTTACTATTTCTGGATCACACCATGACACTTCATTCTTGTTGGACAGTGAGCATGTTAATTTCACGTGACAGCGACAGAAATCTGTTGGTGACAGTGACCACTTGGGGATCCACAGGCTTGAGGGCTTTTATGGTCTCAATCACCATTTTTATCAGGCAGACACTAGCAGACTGAGTCAAACAAATGATGCCATAAACAATGATTCCTTCCCTGCTAAAGAGTGAGCTTCTATTTAGTACTTCCCTTGAAAGTCCCATTTATATCCTAGCACTCCGTGCCTTGTCTTCGGTGATTTTCTAACACACCTGAACATGTACACCTGAAGCAATCAGTCCAAATAAAAGCTTCAACAGGTTGACACCAACAACAATACTTACAACAGCACTATGTGGATAGATCATAACACTTGCTGGTCACCGAAGCATTTCTATGCGGGTCATGGCCTGAACTTAATTTGTGAAAAATAGAAGAGAGAGTGAACAGAGTCGAGAATACTGGAAGCTGTCAGATCAATGTTTTGCACATCTGGAGGTTATCAGGAGCTTGGGACAAATGAAAGGGCACTTAGTCCGGTTTTCAGTTTGGTAAATTTAGTCTAAGAAGATCACTGCTCTTTGAACGTAATTGAGGATTTGCTCACAGCGAACCCTTTGATGTAAAATTCAATCATTCTACACCAGCAAGCACGGTCATGAATCATTATAACCTTTTCTTTTAGTAACAATTATTCAGTTACAGTTGGATACTCAATACTTTCCTCAAGCTCTGTTTCACTCAGCACTATATCTTAATAATCATTTATAAATGCCAGTCACCAAAGATTAATTCTTACCAGTGACTCAAGTAACTCACAGAATATTAATTGACATCATATTCAGCAGCTATGCTATTCTTTGACAAAACTATTTAAATTATTTTTTCAATATTAAATGATCATTGCAATAGAACTGTTATATTGTAGAAAACAACATAACCAACTGTGCCTGAAAGCTTTTGAATTCATGTTAAATTACAGAACTGCATGAATGCCACTAATATAAATAAATAGGTGGGCTTACAGTAATAGGATATGCAAGAGTGATTTAAATCAGGGTCCCTGTTATCAGAGTGCCAATCAGTCACACTATGACAGGGCTGTACTATTGCAGGATTAGTCAATTGGTCCAATGACACAAGCAGGCTGTTGTGCTGTTAGTCATAGGACTCCACTATCATGAGGTCAGTCAGTAAGTCATGCAAAACAGTACTGCACTCTTATCGGCTAATCAGTCACAGTGACAAAGCTGCACTATTACAGTCAGGCAGGAAGGTAAGTGTGCTAACTTGTGACAGAGCTTTGTTGTTGAGGTGTTTCTGTGAGACATACAGCAACATTCAGTGGTACTGTGAGGTCAGTCAGTTGCACAATAACATGACTGCATTGTACAAAATTGCAAAATAATAAATTTCAATAGTTGATTCCCAAAACCAATGCAACTGATGGATCACAAGCTGCTGATAGCACTTTGCTCCATTCTGAGCTAACTCCAGCTGGACTGCACAGCAATAGAACTCCAATTGTTGTACTTCTTCCTGCTGGCTTCATTGTTCAGAGAGTATCCAGTTAAAATGGTCTCAGGAGGGAAATATTACGCAAAAGAATTACAAAATACATTGTAATCAAATACTTCAAATAATTTGTCACAGCTGGGGCCAGCTTTACCCAGTAAATGCCTCCATTATGAATAGTGCAATGCAACAAGAAAGATAACGCTTTCATTCTGTGTTACTTCCTCTCAATTAAGTTACCTATTGCAGAATAATCTAATTTCATGCACATATATGAAGATTAAGAAAATTAGGTTGTAAGTGAATTCGATGTGCAGCTACAGTCAAACGTTTGTCTAGAAATACCATGTGCTAAAAAAGTTCCTGTCCGAAAAACACGTGGGTGGAAATGCTGTTGAATATGCTCCCTCTGTTGTGTTAGGCTTCAAAAGATTAATTATTGATATACTACCCCAGTCAGGACTCAGTCTTTAACAGGGCTGATTATCACTGCAGAACATGCGTATATAACAGCTAAGCATTCCTTCTCACTTCTGTTCTGTAATGAGACTGGTTTCTCTTAACTCTATGACAGAATCTGGCTCTTCTCCACAGCTGCCAGCATCCTAACTCACAAACTGAAGGGTGGAAGATGGAAGCCAGCCAGGATAACTGAGCCTGAGACTAACAAAAAACATTGATGATGGTTTCAAAAGCAGATAAACCAAAGCATTGGCAAAGAAAGGCAATGTTACAGATGCTGAAGTGGAAGCCATTGCGGTGGAAATGATATGGGTCCAATGTCAAAAAGTGCTCCAAGATTGCCAATTGTCTGTTACAGCCTAAGTGGCAGCCAGGGAAGGAGATAGAAATGGTGCATAGGGTCATCCTAAAGGACAAGACTGAAAATAACAATACAGAGTCAAATAGGAAAGCTTACTTTCTTATATCTACCTCTCCTTTAGCAAGGGGACAAAGGGTTAATGTTGGGGAATGCCAATTTATCGATAGGCCTTTCCCTCCATTTATAATCTATCTTGCAATTTGCATCCTCTCACACCCCTTTTAAAGGTCATGTAATTGAGTGAAATTCTAACCACTAAAAATGCCTTTTGAGATTGGATTGGCTTTGAATTATGAATTAATTATTCCCAGATCAGCAGCCATCATTTGGACTTTTCAATTTTCTCCCTTTTAATTTGAAGGGACCTGATTGTTTTAAGGGGCATTCTTTAACAAATGCTAATTGCTCCCTAGGCATTAATTTGTCACGCATGGAATGGCATATGAAGTGTTGGCAGTTTATTCCATTATGACAGATACCACAGTGAAGTTCAATTTTGTTTTCTTCCAGCATTCACACATGCCATCTCCAGTGTGGGCCTATCAGGAGCAGGAAATCTGTATGAATTTTACCTGCCTGGTCCAGAGTAAGTGGATCTAGGGTCTCAGTCTTGTGCCCATGGCAAGATTTGGTAATAATAAGGTAAGACAGTAGCAGTTAAGTTCCCCACACTTCTCCTGTCCCTTCCCCAATTAAGTCAGGGATTGCAAGACAAACCCCAATCTGCCACCAAATGAGACCCTTAAGTGGACAATTAATGGTACATCAGCCCAACATCAATGCCAGCACAAAAACCCACTAACTGTGGAGCCCCAAGAGGTATCCTGAATCTGTACTGAATGGTCTCCATGCAAAAGATGGCAGAAGCAATTCAAAAACTTGGCATTTCACTTACCCCACCTAGTTTCTCCCCAATAGTGTGCATTCTGTAATGACAGGCATATGGTTTTTATAGGATTCAATTACAGCCCAAGGAATAGCAGCAATACAAGTGTGTCAATGTGATATAAAGCTCTTTTTGCTTTTCTTTGATCTGACTCCTCATTTACTGCCTTTAGATGATTACACAGACACTTATTTACTATTTTTAAACTAAATTAAGTTGTTTTTGCAGATGGTCTGAAACCAAATGTGTTCAGAGTTATTTAAGTGCAATTTAGGAAATTTTATAAATCTGAGTATTTTATTTCTCCCCAGTGATTGAGCACAGAGAAGACAGGGAGAGATACATATGCAGAAACATTCACACAGTGAACAAACACAGATCACATTCAGCCCAGTACTTACCGATGCCCATTTCCAAGTCCCCGATAGGCTCTGGATTGCTCTTGCATCCGATTTAAACTCTGAGCCACTGATAAATACTGGTCATGATATTTGACAGCTTCCTCGTAATCTCCTAATGCCTCATAGCAGTCTCCCAGATTTCCATAGGCATGTCCTCTATCCAGAACTGCATCATTGCCACTCAACTGCTGCAGTGTAGCGAGCTGCTGCTCAAAGTAGCCAATAGCATCTTCCATTACATTCATGTTCATTTTGGTGATTCCCATATTGCCATAAACTTGTGCCTCAATATTGGGATTTTTTAGTTTCTGTCCCAACTCCAATTGCTCTTCGTAACATTTGAAGGCCATGGTATATTTACCTAGTGCCATGTAGACTGCTGCAAGGTGACCATGTGCTTTACACTCTCCCAGCAAGTCACTTAGTTCTTGATAGACCTCAAGCTCTTGTGTATGATATCCTAGTGCTTTGTCATATTTCTGTATTAGTCTGTATGCAGTACCCAGAGCGGCATAAGCACTGGCTTCAAGCTTCCGGTCTTTAACCTGATGAGCCAAAGTCAGCTGCTGTTCATAAAACTTAACAGCACCATTCACATCTTTCTTGCACACGAAGATATCACCAAGGTTGCCTAAAGCTCTAAATTTGGCTTGAGAGTTGTTCAGGGACTGAGCTAATGATAGGACATACTTCTGACTTTCTTCTGCTTTAGCATAATTACCAAGGGCTTTAAATGCGAGGCCCAAGTTACAGTAGGCCTTTGCCTGGCTAAGTTTATCGTGCAAGTCCTTGGCTAGAGCTAAATCTTGTTCATAATATTTCACAGCTTCTTGGTAGTTTCCCAGACAATAATGGGCGTAGCCAAGGTTATGACATACTTTTCCTTCTCCCTCCATATCTTGTAGGTCAGGTGACAAGCGTAGATATTGTTCATAATATGGAACAGCCTGAATAAATTCTCCTCTTGAACAGTGGAAGTTGCCGAGGTTACTAAGTGCCCGGGCTTCACTTTGTATATCCCGTAGCTCTCGTGCTATGTTTAGATGGTTTTGATAGTGCTGCAAAGCCCTATCATGGGCACCCAGAGCCTGATACGCAACAGCAAGGTTACCATGGGTTGATGCTTGTGATGCCCGGTCATTAACTTCCATGGAGATCTGTAGTTCTTGGCGGTGGTACTTCACTGCTTGGTCATACATTCCCAGAGCATTATAGGCATTGCCCATATTCCCATAGGCTCTTCCCTGCGCAGCATAATCATTGAGCTCCTGAGCAATGGAGAGGTGGGTCTTGTGGAGTTTCAGTGCAGTTTCATAATCCCCTTTCATCTGGTGAATTATACCTAATCAACAAAATCACAAACAGGATCAGTTAGCTGGTAATGAACTTTAAAAAAAACAGATATTTAATTCTTAATCACTGCACTACCTAACCAAAGTTTGAATTTTCAACCACTACTTTGCAGTTCTCCTGCATTCTAATTTATGATTATCAGTTGTGGTTCCTGACATGTGTACTCCATCTTTTATAATTCCCACTGTAAACATTGCTTATCTATCCTCCTTTTCTACAGTTGGAATTACAATATTTACAGGTTAAGAGGAAGCAATTTTGATAATGTTATTCCATGCCATTGGCTGTTTAGTTGTGTAGATAATTGTGTTCACATAGTTATGATCATGTATCAATTCTACAAGTGAAAAATCAAGCTTTTGGCCCAATGCCCAATTCGTCACAATTATGTTTACTTCCACTTCTCTAACATAACCTGTTTCGGTCACTGGCCCATTTCCACTACAAACCTTATCTTTGCTTTTGTTATCTCCAAGTTCAATTGTGCCAATACGCTCTTCTGGCCAATATTCCAACTTGCACCTTCCATAATCCTGAGTTCATGCAAATTCTGCTACCATTACCTAACACACACCACGTCCTATTTACCCTCATCACAAGAAGTTGGCCAACACTGATTTCTAATTTAAAATTCTCATTATTCTGCACAAATTCCTCTGTGGCCTTAAACTCCATATGTTGTAAACCTCCTTCATCCCTACTACCCAACCCTCATCCCAATCTGCATTACTTCAACTTGGGCTTCTTAACTATCCACAGGAGGCCTTATGCTCAAAATCTAGGACCTATGCTTGTGAATTTACTTTCCAAGCTTCTCCACCTCTCCTAAAACCAAAAGCTATTTCTTTATCCAAATCATTAATCTCCTTCCTTCTTTTGCAGTATCAAATTTACCCCAATTATACTCATGTGAAGCACCTTTGGCCAATTCCTTATGTATGAATAATATGTTGTTCTTGTTGAATTAAAAAAAAAGCACCTACAATTAAATAGCTTACATCACTTTTAGTTTAAAAATTCAAACCTTCTCCAGGGGAACATCCCCCCAAGACCCTCATCATTTTATGCATTCAACATGCGGACTTCCCCTTTAAGTTTTCATGTCTTTATGTTCTTAATTTCCCCACAAGTTTATTTTATAAAGCTCATGCAACTATTTGCTTTCACATGAGGAACACTCTGTTGGCTGATAATACAGTGTGGAGCTGGAAGAACACAGCAGTCAGACAGCACCAGAGGAACAGGGAAGCTGACGTTTCGGGTCGAGACCCTTCTTCAGAAAATTTTGTTGGCCTTACTTTTTAACTTGTTTGGTTTGCTTTTACTATATTTGTGTGTATACGTGCAGCAAATTTCTAAAAGTTGATACAGCAACACAAGTAGGCCATACAATTCCTGATATGAGTGAAATGCCAACTTTTCTTCCTATTTAATTAAAATAGGAATATTGTACATTTCTTAGGTTTTAAAGAAGACAGCAGGATTAATTAAAACTCCGATGCAGCCGTGTCTCTGGCTGTATAGTCAACAACTCTCTCTCTGCTCAGTAGCCCTAACCTCCTGTAATGATCACCTCCAAAACGAATTCAAGAAATCCCCAGTCCAGGATGTGCATGGGACAGGAAATTCCTGTCCACAATGGTCTCACCACAGAAGTTCAATTCTTTCTGGCACACATTAACATTTCTGTTACTGAAACAAAACTTTCCAAGTTAAAAAAGCAGAAATTTTGGTGTCAAAACAAAACATCAGTTTCAGATTAAATACCACGCATTGTGGATAAGAATAAAAACAGAAGCAATCCTAAAGAAAATGCTCAAAATGGCCAATGAGCAATTTAAAAGAAAACACACAGGTCAATGTTTTCAAATCGAGACTTTCACAAGAAATATTAACCTGTCTTTCTTTCAAATGTTAAGTGACTTGCTTTACATTTCTAACATTTTCTGTTACTGTTCACCAGCCTTTCCCATGTATTCAGGCTGTGGTAAATAATATAAACAGAGCTTGCCAACAAAGACTTTTTTTAAAAGAAGGGAATCAATTAGATCCAAATTGCTTAGGTCCAACTGCTTTTAAAAGGACAGTGTGATATTATGTAAGGTCTTATTTAGTTTTCCTCTCATAAGAACTGTTCAGTAACTTGCCCAATTGTCCATTATTCCTGATAGAGCACAGACAATGGATACTATTTGATCATTCAACTGTGAAGGCCAACAAAGTTGAATGCAATCAGATCCTGAGCCAACTACTAGACATATTTTCCCAGCAGGATTAACTGGATAATCATCAGGACTGGGAGTCTTGTTTAAATTTTCCGAACAATTGCTAGTTGAGCAGAAACTGGATGCAAGTGATCCTCTCATTTCTTCAGCTGATTCTAGCTAACTTGGTAAAGATATCAAATCAAATTTTTGATCTTTTGTTGCGTTTGGATTAATATAATACTGAACAAGAAACTTATCATGCCAAGAGTTCAGAACAACTAATGTTAGGGATCTGAAGAAACAAACATTCTGGCACACAGTACTCTGAAATCTCTAGTATATGTTAGATATCAAGTCTATTCAGTCAGTCAATTGTGGAATGGAAATTTGGAGGTGGACTTGAGTTCCCTCTGGTATCTAGCGGGAAATAAAGTCATGTTGAAAGGAGTTATAGCTACCTGGATTTTCAGCCAATCCACAATGGCAGGAGGATTCAAAACTAAATACCCAGCAAAGTTACCCTGGATCCCATGTGCTTTAACCTTATCAGCTTCCCACTATGACCAAAGAACATAATTGTGTTCATAATTCACCATGAGACTAACTCTGGGGCAAATACACACACTAGTACAGACTGACACATTTACAAGGCAGTGGCATAATATGACCAAAAATATCATAGATTCATTCAGCACAGAAGAGGCCCTTCAGCCCATTGAGTCTGTAAAATATACTACATCCTACACTTTCTCACACCAGACCCGTAGCCTTGAATGTTACGACACTTCAAGTATTAATCCAAGTACTTTTAAAGATGATGAGTTTTCCCATCTCAACTGCTCTCCCAGGCTGTACACTCCACATCCCCACCATGCGCTGGGAGAAAACACTTTTTCCTCAAATTCTCTGTGAATGTTTGCTATTCACTTTACAAGTATGTCCCTTGTTCTTAACCATTCTACTAAGGGAAACAACTGCTTCACAGACACCCTCCATGCCCCTCATAGTCTTATACATGTCTATCAGGTCCCCCTTAATCTTCTCTGCTCCAAAGAATACAACCCAAGATTTCTGGCCTCTCTTCAGTGCCGAAATGCTCCATTTCAGGTGACATTCCAATGAATCTTCTTTGCATCCCCTCCAGTGTAATCAGATTCTTCATAGAGTGCGGTGACCAGAACTGTGCAGAGTACTCCAGATGTGGCTAGCCAAAGTTCTGTAAAGTTCCAACATAATCTCCCTGCTTTTATAATCTATGCCATGAATAATAAAGGCAATCATCCCTTATGTCCTCTTAACCACCCTATAAACATGTCCTGCCATCTTCAGGGATCTGTTGACAAGTGCCCAAGGTCCCTCTGTTCTTCTGAGCTTCCTGGTGTCCTACTATTCATAGTGTACTCCCTTGTCTTGTAACTTCTTCCAAAGTGCATTACCTCACATCTATCAGAGTTAAATTCCATCTGCCACTGAACTGCCCATCTGACTAATCTGTTTCTATCCTCCTGTAACCTAAGCTATTCCTTCTCACTGTCAACCACTCATCCAATCTGTGTCATCCGCAAATTCACCCCCACATTCTCATCTACATAATTTCTAACACCACAAATAATAAGGGACCCAATACTGTACACCACTGCAAAACAGACTCCAGTCATAGAAACAGTGTGTCTCCTGCCACAAAGCCAATTTCAGATCCAATTTGCCAAGTTACCCCAGATCCCATGTGTCTTTACCTTCTATATCAATTTCCCAGTATGACCAAAGAACATAAAGAATAACTGCAATGTTCCACCATGGGAAAACCCTTTAAACAGCCAGATAGGACAATGGATCACCATGCAAATAACTGCATAGTGCAGCAGGAAAAATTGCAGAAAATTGCAACAACAGCAGGAAAATAAATCAGCAAGTGCCCTCACTGCTGATGATAAATGCTGCAGGCAAAAGTGACTGGCATTCATTTGAGTATCTGGCATAAGGCTGTCACTGTTCAATCCAAATCTAGATAGAAGAAATGCATTTTCTAAAGGAAAAACATATTGCATAATCGCAAAACAGGCAGGAGAGCACAGTATTTTATCTATTGTTTGTTTTTGCTTTTCTGTATTAGCCAAATGACTATTCACGATATCAAACTGTCCAGTTTAAAACAAGCTGAGTGAGCATTTGATTCTGAGTGCTAAAATTTAGAAACTATCAGGACAAGAACATAGTCTTTCAGCATCAATCACTAAAAATGAAATCACAGGCAACACAGTGCAGCATCATGAAGTGGTGCACTCTGCTTTTAAGCCCATACAATTCTCTCACGGACTTGTATGGATTCTGTATATTTATTCAGGCTAAGGCCTAGCTGGATTAGTCTAATCAACAATGTAGCTTTAAACTAAAGGAGGCAAATTACTGCATGAAAAAAAAACACAGAATTTTGGCATGTCTTTTCTAATTTGACCCTTGTCGAATGATTTATAATTCCAATCTCTAATTGGCTGTTATCTAAATTCTACCCAAGGTTTTTTTTGGGAGGTTGGGGGGAAGTCAGAGCCACACCATCTTTTATGCGGATTGTACAGTAGGTATGTGATGGCACATGCTTATGGGGCCTCTGTAATACAGTCAGCATTAGACAGCTGCTATTAATTTAGCAGCTTTTCGACCACATTACAGTCCCATTTTCAAGCCACTCGAAATCTGAGCCACTCAAGTCCATTTTATCCACTGGCCATGCTGATTTTACTGTTTGCTCTTTAATTTTCCAAAAAAGCAGAAAGAAATTTGAGATTTTCGAAAAAACAGAAAAAAAAAACATTGATCTCTTTCCAGCTGAACGTTGTAGCATCAAGAGCTTAAGGAAACTGAGGAAATCTCAGTGAAAAACGGATATTTCTTATTGCTGTATTTTCACAGCAACAATGCGAAACAGACCAACAGAACTGAGCATTGATCAGTATACCCTGCATTATATTGATATAACGACTATAAAGATAGCTTTATTAAGGCTTAGTTTTAACAATGATTGCAAAATGTATAAAGAACCAAGGAGCACTGCCTATTACACTACAAGTCTGCAGTGTTCAGAAGCAATTGGCCACCACTGAAATTATTAAAAACCCAAAGGGGCCTTTTTGGCCAAGAATACAATCTCTTTCACAATGAATCATGGCACTACTGTGAATATCAAGTTCCATGATTCAACAAATAGAAAGAAAAAATTCTTTATCAGTCAATGCAGAAAATAATCTTGCTACTTCAATACAGTATTACTTGTCAGAACTTGGCAGTACAGAGGAAAAATTGATTTACAATAGCAGTGAGAGAGGAAGAAAGTAATTCAGGTGGAATAACATCACTTAATGGGCTGAATTTCCCCGAATACTGGGTACAAATGCACTTTTTAGTTAGCGTTATTGGTCACTGTTTTGTTACATACCTCTTGCATTTCAGCTATGTTAGTTGGTCGTTATGATCCTCAATCTCTCTTTATTGACTCAATTTTTCTTGTTGCAGGTGAAAGATCCACATTAAATAAAAATCTTGCATCTGCAGTGTTGCACCTCTAAGGTGCAACAATCTGTGCACTGTGCAGATCCGAATGAATTTCACATTGATCAATTGGTAACCAGCCAAAGCCAAATTTAATTAACTTAATACATAGGAAAAGCCAATTAAAAATCACCAAACATTATAAATCAACCAAATCAAAATTGTTCAAGCTCATTTTTAGGCTGCCATTCTATAAGTAAAACAAATTGCTCAATTCATAGAATCTTAGAATTGAATCACAGAATCCCCTGCAGTGTGGAAGCAGGCCAACAACTTTTTTTTAAGTCCTTTAGACAGCCAAGTGACATTCTTCATATTTGTCATTACCTAAGTGAAACTATGGTTAAAACCTTAATAAGTAAGATAACTCTGAAAATCAATGGCAAATGACCACCAGTTTGTGGCCCATGAGTTTTGAAGGGAAAATTGTTCCTTGGACACAATACGCCAACCTCATGAAACGGGAAACAATAAACTGATTTAATGTTCTAACAACAATAAGCAAATAAAGTGCTTCAGAAGTGGGAATACTAAGTTGTTCGACATGTCTCTTTCTCCCAATCCTCCCATTCCATTCCTGGACTTCTTTCATAAGTTATGTTGATACAATCTCTGTAATGTGAGCCACACTGCTTTACCATTCTCTCGACTGGATAAATCAAATATTGTTGGTTCACGCGTTGTTTGTCTCAGTGTGGCTGTCATGGCTAAGTAACAAATTTGTGAGTTCAAGCTCAACTTGAAGACTTTAGCACAGAATCTAGAATGAAGGAAAATGACTGAGAATGTTGCGCAGTTCAAGCTGCTTCAGACAAAATGTTAAACCAAAATTTTGTTGCCTATCTTCAGATGGATATTAAACACTAATGCACATCGCTCAAGTTCTTCCAGTGTCCTCACCAATAATTTTTCTTCAACTTACGTTGATAGTGTACTGTGTTAATGTTCAGAACAGCTTGCTATTCACAAAAACACCTGTCACATTGACTTACATAGAAATATTAATTTTTGACTTTACTCCAGTTGTATATCAAATACCTTCTGAATGTCCCCGGACAGTGAATGATGTGTTAATTGTATGCAAATTCTTTACTTTTGCTGCATTAGTTCAATCTGGGCACCCCAGTGACAGGAAAAGAAAATTCAGCCAGTTTCCATTGTTGGACAACAGCCGACCTCCCTGCTACAAGAAGCATGTACGGATCTCAGAAGAAGGTCGGATAAAATCCAGCTCCAATGTCATCCATGGTTAAACAGCCCAATGACACTCGTTTAGGCAATATACAAGACAGTTTCTAATATTCAGCCAAGCATGTCCCAGCAAAAAACATCACTATCATGGGACTTGTTTTAAGCCAGTCAGGCATGTGTGAAATACCAACATTAAGAATAGGAGTGTCCAAACTAAGTTATTGCAAAAGCCAGGATAGTGGTATTTGTGGACTGTGCTTCCTCCTTCTTCTTATATAATTCCTGACAACATGTGTGATTGGTCTCTTACTGGGAATAGACTTTGAAAATTGGTTTGATAGTTGTGTGAAAAGTTTTTTTTTCAATGATTCATATATACTATGTTTCTTCTTGAACAGATTTTATTAGTGCACCTAGAATATCATGTTGGGAGCATTTTTATTCACACATTATGAAAAGATAGATAGTTATTTCCTACTAAGTGCCCAGAAACTATTCTCTAAATGTACCTTTCATCAAACTTTAGCAGAATAGCAACAAACGAAACAGGGGGCAATGCCACTTGGAGTGCCTCCAATATCAAAATTCACAGGAAATTGGGGAACACATATCTAGACAAATGTGTTCAATTTTGGGAACAGAACTTCAGAAAAGATACATTGGCCTTGGAAGGTATCATTTAGTTTTAGATTTTGATTTATTCGGGTGAGATTAAGAGACAGGTTCCATAAATTTAATATGTATTCCACTGGTTTTAGAGGTTTGAGAGATGATCTATTGGGTGAATTTAAAACTATGAAACAATTCAATAAGGAAGACAGAGACATGATTTCCTTAGACAGGAATGTCGAGAACATAATACTCAAATATGAGCCAGGTCATTTAGGAAGGATATCAGGAAGTGTTTTTCACACAAATGGTTGACGATATCTGAAATTCTCTTTCCAAAAGGCTTTGAATGCTGCATGAATTTGAGGTTTAAGGACTCAGATCAATAGAATTTTATCAGATGAGATTACCAAGGAAAATGGAACAAAGATAGGTAAATGGAGTTGAGATACAGATCAGCCATGATCCAGTTGGATAGTAGAACGAACTTGAGGAGCTGAATGGCCAACTTTGCTGATATGTTCCTTGAACAAGCACAGTTTCTAAAGTCATGGTGCTACCACAGTGGTGCGAAGTAGAGAATTTAGGCTTATTGAATGGTAAGAAAGGAAGAAAGGTAGCAAAGGACACATGGCTAGGTCAGGATGGTATGTGATTTGCGATGGCGCTCTCACAGAACTATTGCTCTTGAACTTCAGTGTTAGAGGTCTCAAGAAAGGGAGATACTGAAACAATCTTAGTGAATTGGTGCTTTACATCCTGCAGATTGTATATGCTGTAGCCACAATGCAGTATGGAGGAAGAGTGGCTATTGAGAAGATTGGCAGCAGCACTATTCCATCCTGGTATTATTTTCCTTGAGTTTTATCATACATGCACGCATACAAACAAATGGTGAGCATTCTATCACATCCCTCAATTGAACCTTGTCGACTGTGCAGTGACTTTGGTGATGACACACATGTAACAGAGTGTCCTGTCCCTGCCCAACACTGGTGCTGTGATGGAAAAATAGAAAATGTGTAAATATTCAGAAGTTGACATCAGCATGCGGAGGGTGAAAACAGGAGACCTGAAACATTAACTCTGTTCGTCTCTAGTGCTGCTGCCAGTCTTGTTGAATACTTCCAGTATTTGGATGTCCAACACAACATTTTTCCTTCTGTATTGTTTGAGATGTGGCTTGTCCAGTTTAGTTTCTGTTCTCTGGAGAACGCCTCTGCCCTGACACACCTAGCTCTATTTCCACCGGAAACTGTGATTGTGAAGAGCCCTGCAACGGTGTGAACAGCACTGCTCTAAAGCATTGCAACAAGGAAGTTATCAGCACTTTTAGTGATTTCACTGGCTATTTCTTGGCAATGGAGTTTAATAATTGGGTGGATACAAGACAGCAAAGATGTTAGAAAAGCAGATCAAGATAATTCACTCAGCACTTCTGACTGAAGTTACTCACAAAATATTTCAGTTTGATCTGACCTGCCGGAGTCCAGTCTATTCTTCCTCTGTTGATGTTTTGGTTGTCCACCACCATTCTCAATTGGCAAGAATAGTGGTAAGATTGATTTGGTGAAAGAATGAGGATAGGCGCTAAATGGGCAATGTGCTGACAAGATATGCCAACATAAATCAGTTTTAAACAGGAATTTTGGCCATAATTGTTGATCACCGTAGTTCAAATCTACTTCCAGAACTAAAAATTTGTACTGCTGCAGATATAGCAAATGGTGTTGAATATGGCCACTGTTTACTAAGAGGTGAACAGCATCATTGCAATTTACCACCTAGCAAACAGAGAATGGGCTAATACTTCACTGCTTCTCCAGGTGACTATGGAATCTCTTGCATGTCTCAACAATGGATTTCCCTTTGCTTTTTCTTTAACCTGACACAGCTTTTGGAAATAATCAACATACATTTTTAGCCATTTGCCCAGAAATTGCTACATTCTGTTGTGAAAGGAACACATGCTGGAGAAATTCAGCAGGTGTGGCAGTGTCTGTGGAGAGAGAAATAAAGTTGACAGAAAGAGTTGAGCGTCATGTCATGTTCAAAATTCATCGAAGTGTGGGTATAATAGGATGAAACTAAATCCTTTGCTGAGTGTAGATTGTTCAGAATCGAAAAGAACAGTTAGAAAGGTAAGCGTGGCAAGAGGCGAGATTAGGAGGAGGGATAGAGTCTTTTCCCCTTTCACAGAGGATTCCACCCACGCCACCTTCACCCCCACCCCACCACACCCCCCTATCTCAATCACCACTGTGGTGGACATGGCTCTCAGCCTTCTAGAACAGCATTTCATCCCACCAGTCTCCATGTTTAGAAGGATCATCCTCCACCATTTCCGCTGCACGCAGCACAATACCACCATTGAACACATCTTCCCCTTCCCTCTACTGTCAGCTTTTCACAAGGAACACTCCACCTGTGACACACTCTGCCATCACTCAAGACACTTTCACTTTTTAGAACACCACCACTTTGTCCATAGGAATGATCCTGACCTTCCAGTTGCTTGCCATTTCAATAAACCATCTTGTTCCCATGCTAACTGATCTATCCTGGGCCTGCTATGGTGTTTCAGGCTCAGTGCAAGCTAGAAGAACGTCACCTCATTTTCTGCTTAAACACCTTATAGCCTCTAGGATTCAGTGTTGAGTTTAACAACTTCAGAGAATGACGTCCTTCCTCCATTTTGATTACAACTATACCCACCACCCGCCTCTTCCCCACTCTCCAAATCATGTCTTGTTTGTGCCTTGTTGACTTTGCTTTCAGCAGAGAGGACCCACATACTTACCATTCACACCTATTTTACATCCCTATCTCTACTATCATTAAAACTCCCTTTGTCACTTCCACACTTGCTCCTCCTCAACAGAAAAAAATCCCCATCATTTTCCAGCTCCTTTCAGTTCTGAAAAAGTGTCACATTGTACTTGAAACGTTAACATTTTTTTGCTGTCTCCACCAATGCTGCCAGACCTGCTGAGTTACTCCTGCATTCTCTCTTTTTATTTCAATTTTCCAACATCTGCAGTATTTTGCTTTTATTTGGCTACATTTTGTAATGTCCTGCTAAACATTCCACTCTCATATATCACCTGTGTTCTTGGCATCTGATCAATATGCAGCTGACACGATTTTAAATATAACAATGAACATATTTTAGGGATCTTCATGTAAGCTCATGACAATAATGGCATGCCATGCATGTAGTGTTAAACTAATAATTCAATGGGACTCCCTAAGCACTCCCAGAGCCATGCAAATTAAACAATAAGCAGATCTTTTTCAAGTCTGTTATTAAGCAGGAAAAGTTTAATTCTTTTCTTCATGAATAAATTACTATTCTGTGTTCTATATGTTTGGTCTCAATTTGCTTAGTGTTTTTCTAGTTGCTCTTGGCAACTATATAATCTTTGAGCAGGAACATGCCATTTCTGACATGAAGGTCATCCAGCCGTTCTTTAGCATTTTAAAACTCTGCACTATTCTGTTCTTCTGTAAAACAACATAAATATTTAGTCTTGTTATTCTCAGCATTAAGTACCCTTGTAAAAGACATGTTCTCACTCTGTAAACATAAAAACAATTTTTTGTTTCTAAATCTCTTCTCCCTGCAAGTTCTGACAAATGTAGAATGCGCTGCCAAAGCTGAAATGAACAGCAAATAGTTGGCACTGGGCTCATTTTATAAATCACTGCTTTATTATTTTTTAATGAGCAGCCTCAGTGTTATTGAAATATCGGATTCAGGGTTGCCATAATGAAAGTGTACAGCAAGTAACCGCCACCCAATAATTTCCTGCACCAGGATGTGTCAATTCCCTTTGTTGTACGTTCTCATCACTTCTTCTCCTTCGTCCGTTTTCACAACAATCTGGAATCTTCTGACAGAACTT